CTGTTGCACTGTGTTCTCAGGCCAATATTTGTTTACCTTCTGGAACATTACGTACGTTGAATTAGGATAAGGATAACCACCTTTATTGGCCAACTATGTTACACACAGTGAATTTGTTTCCGGTACAGAACCGATGGCAGCCATCTGCAGCACCACCTCAACCGATGGCTCTAACCATCGGGGGCAGCAGGGGGGGTTCAGTGTCTTGCCCAAGGACACTTCGACATGTGGACTGGAGGCACTGAGATTCGAACCTCCAACCCTCCAGTTGGGAGACGACTGCTCTACCCACCACACTGTCACCTCCCCCTGCCTTTTAACAGTTGGTGTTTGCTGGTTCCTGTTGTATGTACTGACACCTGCCAGTGATTCTTTTAAAAAATGCCGATTTTCAGGCACCTTCTGAGGTGAACTGCCCCCTGAACCGCCGCACACTGTCTCGTAACCACAAGAGCTTTTCTCACAATGAGATCAGGATCTGTAGTTATAGATGGTGAGCAAAGATCCCCCAGGTTTATTTCATCTAGTTTCTGTAGATTGTCCACCTGGAAAAAAAACAAAACCTTAAACACAGATCCAGAAACATTCTGGATGCAGCTCACCTTTCTTTGCCTTTCACATTTTAGTTGACCTTTCTGTTTATGTTGAACGGCTGGTTTGAGAAACAACTATTTTATCTGCAGAATAAAAAAACCTGTTCATGTTTTTCAGTCTTTGTAATCCAGGTGTGGTGTGAAAGTGGAGCAGCAGCGTGTTGTTACTGTGGGACTGTGTTTATTAGTGCGCTCGCAGGATGTGACTGGCTGTTTTTTATTCCTTATAGTCTTTCTTTGTTCTGTTCTGATCCGGTTTCAGGAACATGCTCGGGTTAGGTGCTCCAGGCAGAGAACATGAGGGAATTAACTCGCCGCACTTTCCAACCCGTTTAACATATTCACTGCCTCAGATGATGTTAAGTCCAACTAGAGTGAACAAACAGAGAAGAAGAGCAGTGCGAGGTCGTCAGAGTGAAATGATGGAAAGTTGGCGTTGAGTCTTGTAACTGTACAGAGTTGTCGATTCGCTGCCTTTACGTTCATATGTCCCCACTGGGAGGCGTTTTGCCGGCTGCTTATTTACCACAGTGCTCAGGTGTGTCAGTAAAATCTATAATTAAGAGAAAAGACGGCCCGCAGCGCTACAGATGGCTGCACTACACATCCCCATCCCTGATGCCATGACAACAGATGCAGCAGCATCACACGGGGTTTCTGCAGGTCTCAAAAAGTTGTCCCCTCAACAAAAACAAAAAAACAAGAAGTTTTATTTATATAGCACATTTAAAAACAACAAGGATTGTACCAGAATGTTTCACAGCCATCTACTGTAAATAGGTCCTTAGAAAGTGCTGGATAATTAGCATTTGATTTGCAAAGGGCTGAAATATTTCCTCCACACAATGTGATGAACGTGAAGCATCAACACAAAAACATGAACTTTAGATGTTCGGCTGCACACGTTCATCCTGGCGCTGACTGATTCCTGGTGATAGCGGCACATTGACGTTAACGTGACGTCCATGGCTCTTCCTGCTCAGTGGTCTGTTCATAAATGTCGGACTAGTTTGTTTCATCTGTCTCTTTATTCTTTGATGAAAACGTACGATTTGTCTTGATCTTGTCAAATGTTACTTTTTATTTAGTATTAGTCTTGGTTTTGTCATGAAACACAAATCAAGTCAACATATAGTCTGTTATTTTATTTCTGTGTCATACCACACAAGCAGCCCGTCCCACATGGGACTACAAGACGCCGTTATTTTACCAAAATGTGCATCTTCCAGTATCATATACAATACTTGCTTCTAAATAAGCTCAATCATTCAAAATGCTAACTGTCATCTTAAATACAGAGCTTTTTCTCCTCTCCCAGACTTTTAACAAACAGCTAGCAAACTTAAATATTTCATATGTGAACTACCAACTCGACCTTTCTGCGTCGTCCATATTTACAAGATCAGTGTCTGGTTTTACTTTACTAAACAAAGTATTGTGCAGCTCCCATGTAAAATACAACAGGAAATAAAGTGAAACTCATCTTCTGTATCATCCAAACAACACAGCGAACAGATCTGCTTTTCTTCTTCTACATTAAAAAACTGCCCAGTTTCCACTGGCAAAGCACCAGATCTCAGCTGAGCACACGGAGATCTTTTCTTTTTAGATAATTATCAGGACCGAGCTCATTTTTCATCATCCCAAATGTGTGCACTTTTTTTGTCCTGGTTTTTGTTGACAGGATTAACACTGGTGTGAAGGCAGGGCTGCACGATTCATCAGTTTCAGATCACATTCTTGATCCATGCTCGTCTGCAGCTGTGCACACACCATGTTTCTGCACAGCCTTGTGTGTCCAAGAGGAGCAGTCATGACTTCAGCCTCGGCCGTGATGTAAACTATGATGAAATGTAGGAGGAATCGTTTGTTCATCCGAGTCCAGACTGAGTAAAAGCTGTGGACCCGCTGTGACTTGGCGTGGACCTGTATGGGGCCCCCTGCTCCACACTCTGCTCCTATGTATATAAAGGTCACCAGTGTTTAGGTCTGACAGAAACACTGAAGAGCATGGCTCTCATGTGAGAGTGTGCATGAACATGACAAGATTAATGGCAGAAATAAAAATGTCACTAAACCACATCCGGACACCCCTGGGTGATAATAACTGAATCAGCAGGCATCCAGCCTGTGATGCTGTCCAGGGGCCCAAAGCCTTCTGGGAAATGCCTGAGTGTGAACCCACAGCTCAGGCCTGATGGGAGGCTTGTGACCAAACAGCACTGCTCCGCTTGGCGTCTGATCCGTCTTAGTGCGACGGGAGCAACAAGAGGCGGCGTGGGAACACACAACATGTGACAGATAGTGTGAGAAGAGGACGTGTCAGGTCACAACCCTGAGCTGTGAACAGTGCTGCCACACTGGGCTCCTCTTTCTCAACCTGATCTGGGCAGGTTGGTATCATTTCAGCTACCCTCTGTGCAATTAGGGCAGAGTTAGTATAAGGGAGGCTCTGAGGGAGACGGGTGAAAGGGACAGGTGCACACAGGTGTGGAACCAGAACATGTCGGTGACTGTTGCTTCTAAATAGCTGAGGTTCATTTTCTACCAGTGAACTGACTCATGGCTGCAGCTCTAGGTCACTGAATGGCTTCATGAGGACGATACAGTGGGTCAGACACAGTGAGGGGATCTGGTTTGGAAGGAGGAGGTTTCCTCCTCCGACAGATGAGACCTGATGCTGCTCCAGAGATTCTGCCCTGTTGGGTGGCGGTTTGACCTCTCAGCTGTCACCCAGCTGTACCTTTCAGTGTGGTGCACACTGTCCAAGGATATCGTTACCTGTGTTGTCCATCTCGGATGAACTTCTATGAGCTCACTTACAATTCATAGACACAAAGAGGCTGCTTACACCTGTGAACCTGCCTGAGAATCCTCCTGTTTTAAAGTTTCCTTCAGTATCACAGCGATCCAGCGACAGCTGTCTGCACATCCATGGGTTCACTGCACACAGGAGCTGCTGATGGTGAAGTCGGTGTCCTCTTAACACATATAGGCCCTCAGCTTGTAGCTTACAGCGTAGGTCATGGCCACATTAGACTTTGTTTTTAAGGTGACATCTGTTCATACAAGTGAAAACATGGCTCACTGGCAGCCCTATACTTAAAAATGCTTTAAAAACTTTGATCAAAATAGTTTCTAACTGGTTCTGCAGTTAGTCAGTCAGCAGATCTGCATCTGCAGGTCATTTCCACTCTGGTTCCAGTTCCAAACAACTTGTGGAGCGCTCGCTGAATAAAACGGTTAATGATTCATTGATTTGAATAACATGGACGATGCAGGCTGCTGCTGCTTCCAGGCCATGTTACACACACACACACACACACACCCTGTGAGGAGGAAGTAGGACACTCGGCCCTCCATTCATGTCAAACACACACAAGTGGGTCACTCCACACTCGAGGCTACTGCCTCTGCACTGTGCTGAGATGATGACAGGGAGCTTCGCCCTGAAAATGAGACGAGGTTTCTATCTGAAACTGGTGAAAACAGCAGTGTCAGAGGAAAAGGACAAACGCGAACTTCCTGCTGGTGAAGACCAGTTTTTGTCCTTTTGACTCCCGACTGTTTGGCTGCGTCCACATCAGGCCTTAACCCTCAGCTCTGGTCTTGTTGTGTCGCTGCTTCCCATCTGTGTGTGTCAGCGCCATGTACCCAGCTCTGGTGTGAACACCACTCAGCTCCTAAACTGCCACACATGCACGTGCGCATAAGAATAACAACCAGGTGGTGTGTGTGATGGTCAAATGGCCCAGTTTCCTCCCAAACCACTGGGTTACGATAAGTTCCTCCCAGTTTGTCCTGATCAGAAGCTTCTCCATAAACATCCACCACATGTGAAACGTCCTGGTCTCTCCACTGACCTCGTCGCTGTCGTCGCTCTCCTCCATGTTTACTGTTACTGGCTACCACCTCTGAGAACTCGCACATCATTTTCTAAATCACAAAACTCCAGCCACTGCCTCCCTGTTCAAACCTCTGTGGGACGAGCACCAAATTAGAGATGAATGAAAACAGAATTAGACTCGATAAAACTTTAATGATCTCCGAGGGGCAATCAGAGCATCACAGCAGCGATGAAGACGGGAAAAAACAAGAGCTCAGAGAATAATCAATGCAAATGATGACGGCGATAAAGACGCCAGTGGCTGAGTGTGGGCGCGTCCGGTCTGTTGTTTCAGCTTCTCCTCATCATCGTGTTTAATGGAGATGAGGTGTTTTCACTGACCCCTGAGGTTGCTGGTTCATCTGTGCGCTCGGCTGTTAGTCCTCTTCTCTTTCACTTTGGTGTTTTAATAGAAAACGAGGAATGAGTCTTAACGAGTGGAGTGAAGACAGCAGAGGAAAGAGCGGTGTGCTGTTCTCTGCTTCACCCCCACCAGTGAGTGTTGCCTCTGCTCTCTGCAGGCTCAGATCGCCTTCCTGCAGGGGGAGAGACGCGGTCAGGAGAACCTGAAGAAGGACCTGGTGAGACGAATCAAGATGCTGGAGTACGCCCTCAAACAGGAGAGGTCAGTGCACGCACATGCACGTCAGTACTCTACAGGAGCCTTGCTGACATCAGTGCTGCAAAGTAACTAAGTACATTTACTCAGCTACTGTACTGTATCTGCACCATGTCCTGCTCCTTCATCCTGTGACTCCATGTCAGAGACAAACCGTGTACTTTTTACTACACTACATGTACCTGATACCTTCAGGTCCAGAATCAGATGAATCAAACCAAACCCAGTAGAACCATCAGACTCTATTGATCCCAGTAGGAAATCCACCAGCTACCCAGCAGGATGGAAAGTACTTCCCAGTATAAGTATATAAGGTAGTTACCATCAGCTCCACCTTTACCAGCTGCAGCATTAAAGTGATGGACACAGTAATTAGTCACTATGATCCAGTATCAGAGACGTTACTGGGACACGGGCTGTTCTGCAGGACGAGTACTGGTACTGTTGGTACTTCAGGTAGATTTGGATGCTGATACTTTGGTACTTTTATTTATGTAGCATTTTGAATGTAGGACTTGTAACCGAGTATTTTAAGTAGAGAATAGTAGTATAGTATAGTATAGTAGTATTTCTTCCCCCACTGGTTGACATCATACATTTCTTAAAATAAGATCTTGATATCTTGAAAAAACTATTTAAGCTTTCACATATTTTATTTTCCCACAAATGCATAAAAACTAAAACATGGTTTAGAACATAATGTTCAGATGAATGGCAGTTTTATTTTTCAGCAGAGTGACAGTCTGTGTGAATACGACCTTACGGTGCAGTCACACCATAATCTGCGTGATGGCGTTTACTCCTGTGCTGTGGCCTAAAGCGGGTGTGGACAGGTGGTGAGGGCAGGGATGCAAACATCACCTGCCGGAGCTAGCACGGCCAGCGGGCTAACGACAGCAGCGTCTGTCCTCCTCTGCTGCCGGGTCCATGTCTCTGTTCAGTTCTGTTATTTCCTGAGTGAGAGATCAGTACCCCCTCATGATGTCATAGGTCAAAGTTCAGTCAGGCTGAGCTCAAAGTGAAGGAGGCGGGTCGATTCACATTGTTTAATAGATCAGTCTGAAACTCCAGGACCAGGGACTGTGGAAATAAACCTTTATAGTCTGGAGTCTGCTGAGGAGTGTAGTGGCTTTAACGTGATCACGTGTCGCCATGAAACTGATCTGTGGGCCTCAGGGAGCAGCCTGTCCTCTCATGTGGTTCATTAGCTGTAAGTCACACACATTGAGTGTTTGTTTGGCAGGTCTGGGTGCTGTTTTCTAGAGCATTTGGGAGAGGGGGATTGTGGGAAAACTGAAACAGTTATTAACAAATCAGTATGTGCCACAGTTACATTTCCTGACATGACATTTAACCCCCGCTCTTCTCTGGCACCTGGCTGACGGCGGCTCCGTGAAGGACCAGGCCGGTGTTTTTGTACATTTTAGGCCTTTAAATACACACATTGTGACGTGTTACATTGATTTTCTTCCCACAGCCTGATTTAGCCCAACAGAACTACTGTAAATAAAGTGCTGAGTCTGCACATTGAATTGAATAATAACGTTCGAACGTGTGTGTGTTTTCACCCCCAGGGCCAAATACCATAAGCTGAAATATGGAACAGAGCTGAACCAGGGAGAGATCAAGCCTCCGAGTTATGATTCAGGTAAAACAAGCCTCCCTCTCTGTCTGCTACTGATAGGCTGCCGTGGTCCAGATGCTGCTGCTCTCCTGCTGAGGGGTCGATTGTAACCTCCAAGCTCAGCCTTAAAGCTGAGGACTGTAGCTGCTATCATGTCAAACAGCCACGGAGGAGCTCTGGGCGGCTAAGAGGCTGAACCAGTGGCCGCCAGACCAGCATTCCCACATCGTTTCCTTTTGACACGACGGGATATTTACTAAACCCACTAGGAGCACACAATGTTGTGGTACCACATATAACTAGTCAACAGGAGCATAATGCTGCAGCCCCATGCGACTGAATTGGTATGGTCTCTGCCATTCTCTGATACATGGTGTCATTTCTTCTGACTGGGTTTCAGTCATAACTGCAAGAAAACTACTTTAGTCCTGGTTCGTCCCGACGGCCCGTAACTGCAAGAAAACTACTTTAGTCATCTTTAGTCCTGGTTCGTCCCGACGGCCCTTGTTCCTGTTGGTGCTCCGTAACCTACGCAGGAGGAGCCACCAAGCTAAAGACAGCAGACAGATCTGTCATGCCTCTTACTTGACCACCATCACTAACTGATGATGTACAGAGGTGTTGAAGTGTTGTCCCATTTCATAGGGGGTGGGGGGTGTTTCAACCACTGCTCCTTGTAACTCTGTTTTCAGGGGCAGGGGTACAAAATGAGAAGTGGGCCTGGGCCATAGAGTCATGTTGGTCTGTGTCTGTTTGTGTCTCAGATGAGGGCAACGACAGCGAGGTTCCCAGTCCTCCAAACAGCAGCCATCAGCTCAGCTGGAAACAAGGACGTCAGCTGCTGCGACAGTGAGTTCACACGCATGAACACACACACACACACACACACACACACACACACAGCAATTCTGACTTGCACAGTGTCGTGGGACAGCAGACGCTGTGTGAGTGTGTTTCAGAAACAAAAAGCAGAATGTCAATCTTGGAGATTAATGGGTCACATTCGTCCACAGCTGGAGCAGTGTTACTGTGTGTGTTTGGATCTGTGTGTGAATGAGTTGGGAGGAAGTGCAGACATCATTTTTATTAACTAGGTTAGTTTACTGGGACAGCAGAGGAACACTGTCGCACACATGCAGAGAGGGCAGCCAGTCTGCAGCATTCGTCTGCCTGAGGCTCATCTGCAGCTCCTGACCCTGGTTTGACTTTTAAATCTGCCTCCAAACATCCCAACAATTAACAGTAAACAAAATTCAACAAAACCAAGCTCTTTACTGAGAAGGACGCCCGACCAAAAGTAGTTCTGCACCTCTGAGCTGTGGTGTTCCTGCCTCTCTGGTCCTTCAGGATTCGGGGACAGAGGCCATTTTAACCCTGGTGAAAGTGCAGGATGTGGTCTGTCACAGACAGAGAGTCAGCAGGACAAGCACAAAACGGGCAAGCAGGAAAGGAAAGACGTGTGTCTGATACTGTGCCAGGTGACGCTGAGCTAAACCTCGGGCACAGCAGGCGTGAGCGTCTTCACACAGTCGGTGTAGGTGACATCTGTGCCTGAGACGTCGTCTGTGTGTGCATTAATGTCATTCTGCCCGAGGTGGTGGCGTGGCAGCGATCTTTGACTCAAGCCTATTAATCAACCCTAGACCTAAACATAGTTATAACTCATTTGAAAGTCTCACCCTGAGTCTCTCACACCCAAACTGGAAAACTCAAAAGCCTGTTCTGTTTGTTATTGTATACCGTCCACCTGCTCCTTATTCAGAGTTTTTAAGTGAATTCTCAGACTTTCTGTCTGATTTAGTGCTTAGTACAGATAAAATAATCATAGTAGGCGACTTTAATATTCATGTAGATGCCGACAATGACAGCCTCAACAATGCATTCTGTTCATTATTAGACTCAGTTGGCTTCTCTCAAACTAAATAAACCCACTCACTGTTTTAATCACACTCTTGATCTGGTTCTGACATATGGCATCAAAACTGAACACTTAATAGTTTTTCCCCATAACCCTCTTCTGTCTGACCATTTTCTAATAACTTTTGAATTTCCATTAATGGATTATACTCTATGTGGGAAACAATTCCACTACAGCAGATGTCTATCTGGCAATGCTGTTACCAAGTTTAAGGAAATAATTCCATCTTTATCTACTTCAGTGCCGTTTGCCAACACAGTGGAAGGAGGCCACCTTAACCTTACTCCCACACAAATCGATAATCTTGTTGATAGTACTGCAGCCTTCCTGCGTAATACACTTGATACCATTGCCCCTCTGAAAAAGAAGGTAGTGAAACAGAGGAGGCTAGCCCCGTGGTACAGCTCGCAGCTCCGCTCCCTAAAGCAGGCATCACGAAAAATGGAAAGGAGGTGGCGCTCCACTAAGTCAGAAGAGTTTTTCATAGCCTGGAAAGATAGTTTAATAACATATAAGAAAGCCCTTCATAGTGCCAGAACCACATTTTATTCATCACTGATTGAGGAAAATAAGAACAACCCCAGGTTTCTTTTCAGCACTGTAGCCAGGCTGACAAAGAGCCACAGTGCTGTTGAGCTTAACATTCCCTTAGATCTCAGCAGCAATGACTTCATGAGCTTCTTTACAAATAAAATCACAACTATTAGAGAAAAAAATTGCTCGGACCACTCCCACAGCTCTTGCAGATGTGCCATCTACTACAATGGCTTTAGAAACATCTGGAAGACCTCATTTATACTTGGACTACTTCTCCCCTATAGATCTCTCTGAGTTGACCTCAACAATTGCTTCATCTAAATCATCAACAGGTCTCCTGGACCCCATCCCGACCAGGCTGCTCAAAGACGTCTTTCCCCTAATCAACACATCCATACTAGATCTGATTAACCTCTCTCTATTAACAGGTTATGTTCCACAGGCTTTTAAACTTGCAGTAATTAAACCTCTACTCAAAAAGCCTACTCTTGACCCAGGTGTCCTAGCTAATTATAGACCAATATCCAATCTCCCATTTATTTCCAAAATCCTTGAAAAAGCTGTAGCTGTAACGTGCAGCGCATGTACTACTAGTTTAATGAATGTATGTGTGTGTGTGTGTGTGGTGACAGTGAATGGAGGATTGTGTGGAGGCATCGAGTCCTCCAGCGATCGGAGGGGCTGGGGGAGGGCCGACCTTCCTCCCTCCGTCTTTGTGAACAAACACACTAGATGTTATTCAGGGTAAGCGTCCGTGCGCTGCGCTCAGGTCAGCAAGCTCTTGCATTTCTGGGGTCCCACGGTGAAGGTACAGTACAGAGTTTCAGCTTTTCCTCAGTACAGCAAGAGAACTGTCCCGCTTGGTTGAAAAGGAACCAAACAGACTTTAAAAACTACTTTGGGATTTGTGACTGATTGTAGCCTAAAGCTTAAAATCAGGTGGAAAAGTCTTGAATTTGTTGTGAGTGACAGATTTGTTCATATATCACCAGCTGAACTAAACCAGAACCTTCTGCCAACGTTGTTTTCTCTTCTATGGACGTCTGAACTGTTTGAGTTCCTAACTTGGTGGCACTGCCCTTTAAGCTGCACCGCTGATATAATTGTGGTGTTGTGTATCTCAGCGGGTACAGCAAGGCACCAGGAGCAGACTGAACAGCAGAATGAGGGGGTTTTGTGAATGTCCTGTTGTTTACAGGCTCAGTCAGAGGTCGATGGATTGTACTAATATGTGACTACTGCAAAGAACTTGTACTGTATGGATCAGCCTGACTGGATATTTGTCACTTATTTGTCTTTCTCACGCGAGTTTCTGTGACATTTTTATCACTTTTTGTGTGGAGACTGTCCACCAGTAGAATCGGAGTTTAATCTGGACAGATGTTAGCAGTGGGGACGACACGCAGGAAATAAACATCTGGATTTTTATACAAGCTCTCAAACATGTTTCTTTTAGGTTTGTCTTTTCTGAGGTAATTGTTCCTTCTAATGTGTAATAAATACAGTTTATATGGTGAGTAAAATAAGGCTGGGAGAGAGCTACAGCTATGGCAGGTAGACCTTCTTAAACCAGGGGTTTTCAACTGATTGTGGCCCAGGACCCACCACTGATTGAGAGGCAGCCCGAGGACCACAGCTGTGGGGGTGACTAGACCGAAAGAGGACTTTTATTCCTGAAAATCATCTTGGCTTTTCTAAATGTTACATATTAGCAACATTTGATTATTCAAAAACAATAATTAATAAATGAAAATGTGTGCAGCCACATTACTAAATTCATGGTCAGGGACCACCTGCCATGCCTTCGTGGGCCACCAGGGGTCTGCGGACCACCGGTTGAAAGCCCCCTGTTTAAAACAAAGTAAAGGTCTGTTGATTGTACAGTCGAGGAACTGTTGACATCCCTTGAGAATACATGAAAATCTGGCTTTCTGTCCATAAATGTGCGTCTGTGACCACGACATTAACCAGGAGAAGGATCGTACAGCTGAGACCTCTTAATTGTTATCGTCTTACATGAGGTTAAATAATGATGCAGTGACCTAACATTTCCATTTCCCTTATTACAAAACATACTGTACGTCTTAGCCAGATATAATCTATGAGTAAATCAAAAGAAACTTCCAGTATGAGTACACAAAGTCATTCTGAGGTTACTGTCACTACAGGGAAACACATTTAGCAGCTGGTGCACTGGAGAACAGTGGCTAACGCTGGATGAGTGGTTGTTGCCTTGTCCGTCAGAAGCCTGTGTGCTCCTCCCCTCTCAGATACCTGCAGGAGGTGGGATACACCGACACCATCCTGGATGTGAAGTCTCAGAGGGTGAGAGCGCTGCTTGGCCTGACCGGAGACTCCAGGGAGACGCCCGCTGAGAAGAAACCCGAGCCCATGGTCAACGGCACCGAGCCGTCCTCGCTGAAGGACAGCGGCATGATCAGGTACAATATGAGACTGTAAACATAACCACAGAAGGAGAGGTGGATGTTAAGAGTCCAAGGCTCAAGACTATGCACCTCATGTCACATGACCAGCCAGTGTATACATCATCTTCACGTGGCCAAGCTGTGATTTAAAAACCAGGAGTCACCAAAACTAAAACTGTGTGTAGAGGTTGTATGAACCAGGCCTTGTTCAGGACCCACTAGCAGGTGAACGTTCATCTTCTCTGCAGCAGCAAAGTAAATGAAGCTTTGGAAACTGATGCCAACAGCTCCTACAGGTCCCGACTGTTGTCGGTGACTGACGGCAACAGATTCTGTCTGTACAAAGGCAGAGCCGGATCAGACTGTTACTGCTCCCTCTGAAGATTCGTGTGGAAAAGGCCATGAGCACAGGGAGTCAGAGCTGCTCAGGGTTTCACCCTGTAGCAGGAGGAGGAGCTACAAACAGCTCCAGGCTGTGGACCAGGACAGAACGGTGACGGACCGGCAGCACAGGGTCCACACTTTCCAGGTGAGGAGTGAAAGCAGAGCAGCCGACAGGTGCAACATCTGTGGAACATCTGCAGCAGGGCTGTCTGTGCCGGCATTGTCCGACTTCAGCTGTAGAGACATAGATGTGCAATGTTGGAGGTGGATCAGTACATTCTGGGAATTGCTGTGAGCAGGTTCATTCATGAAACGTAATGTCATCCATAGTAACAGGTGAGCCCCGCCCTTCCTCTTATTTCAGGTGTGTTTTACGGAAACTGAGTGAAGGTCTGAAGAGGAAACTATTACTGATGGCGCCAGTGGGAGGACTCCCGGTGGCAAAATGCACCTAGAGCTGCAACATGGAAGACTTGAAGAGAATTGATACGTTACGTAAACCATCAGTAAGATCAGAGGCCACCACAAACTTAGTGAGCATCAACGTAGAACTTGTGATTGCACATTAATATGTAGAAACATTTGTCATTGCTGACATGAAGACATTTCTGAGATTCATCAGCTCCTGAGCCTTGGAATTTAATGTTTCTCTAGAAGTAAACTGTATTTATATTATTCTCCAAACCATTAGATTTTTAAAAAGGTTTTCTACATAATAAAACTGAGTAAACCTGCATCCAAAAAGGAAAAGACAATAAGAGGGACACTTCTCACTGTTTTCACTCACTTCCTGTTTCCTTCCAGTAAACCTGACATGACGGACTCTGCCACTGTGTTGGAGGCCTTTAAGTTCATTGAGAGCGCTGCAGCAGAGTTTAGCGACGAGGATGAGGAGGAGGACAGCGAGGGGAAGACCATCCTGGACCTGGCTGCAGTAAGAAACGGCACACGGCAACAACACACTCACTGTGGATTGTCTACAGCTGCTTTCTTGCCGCCTGAGGGCCGATAACAGCCTTAAAAACAGACTATAAAACACTGTCTCTAACAGTGGCTCTTTAGCCTTATCTTTTTAAACAAGCAGCGTCCGTCATGTGTCCACCTGATGTCCACTCTCTTCTCAGTTTGGTCTCCACCAGCTCCACCAGCTCCTGAGACAAATTTCTAGTCCCTCCTTTCTTCAGCAGCTGATCTTAGCTGCCTCTGCTTCGTTCCAGGCTGGCTGTGTAGCTTGTTGCTGAGCACAGTAGTGACTGGGAGTGAGGTTGATTACAGCTGAAGTCAGATTACAGGGTACAGCTTTAACATAGAAAACAATTGTGGAGTTTTCATTTTGGGAGGTTCCTCATCCTGCTGCTAAATAAGAAGCATTGATAAAATCAGAACCACTATCAGAGTCAGAGCTTTTTGCTGTTTGTGGCCTCAACAAAATGCTTCTAGAGCTCAGGAGTCCGAGCTAGAAACCAAGCCTCTGCCTTTAGATCCTAGTTGCAGCTCTAAATGCATCCGTCATGAGTCTGAGCCACAGATTGCATAGTCTTCTTTGTGTTATGACTTGTAACAGATGATGAGGAAGAAACAGCTGTCTACCCCCTCTTCCACGACCTCTGACCTCAGCGACGACCCTGACACAGAGGAGGCCCTGAAGGGTTTTGATTTCCTGGCGAGTCCAGATGAGCTGGATGGGTCGCCGGAGCCCAGAAGCGGAGAGGACAGCGGAGAGTGGGGTGAGTGCGACACTTTTCAACATGCTGTTAAACCCAGCACCTGCAGGCTTCAGTGATTAGTCCCAGCTCTCTGGTTAGCATAATGCTAACCATGTCTAAACCTCTTTGGTTTAAGCTACAGCGTCCACACATTACTGGAAAAGTAATTTATTCATATTCAGCATGAATACTTCATATCCTTCAGACACTGTTCAGTATCAGTATGTAGTATGTAAACTTAATCATTATAAAAATGTATTTGTGCCTACCTCAGTCAAACCTTTAAATAACTGATTGTTAGATTTGAGTGTGCAGCGGGTGTGTTTTAATATATGGACTATGTGCACTGTGTCGGGGAAACGTATGTTTTATCGACTTGTAGTTAGGTTTATGTACTGGTGGAGACGTGGGTGTGGGTGTGCAGCACCGAGTCCAAGTCAAATTTTTCTTCGGGGACAATGAAGTATATTGTACCTGAAACAAGTCTCAAATTACACACAGTGTTTAACATTCTTAAAGGTTCAACCTGCAGAAGCCTTGACTATTAGAACTGTTGAATCAAATTCACTGTGAATCAAAGTCTCTCTGCCGGCCATGTTCTGCAGGTGTGTGCAGAGCAGATCAGAGAAATGTCTGACGGTAAAATTAGTTCACCAGCATGTTTCCTCTCTATATATGAAGCTGTCTTTACAAAGTAAAGCTCCCAGCTGGTGCTCTAGCTGCCCCCACAGTTTACACAAACCCTCCTTTTTCTGCTGTTACTTAGCAACGTTCAGTGTCGTTCGGCCAGCGACAGAAAGCGTCCCCACGCACTTCGTGATTCAACACTTCACAGCCCAGATAGCTGTAAAGCAGCGCTGAGTCAGCGCTGCAGCTCTCACCACACACTCAGCTGACAGTGCACTGAACAGGGAGGACTTAGCCCCCACTATCTGGAACATTAAACTAGGATTTGAAAGGTTGAAAATAAATTCTTAATGTGTACAATATGGTTTCAAAGCCGAACATTATGGCTCAGACATCTTTGTCCCTTTATAACGTGGCTGTTCGGCAGTGATCTGCTCTTGCTGTTTCCCTCCACACACCATGATAATGAAGCCTGGCTGTGTGCCGCTCCCTTATGAGACACATTTGTAATTGTATGGATGCTGAGTCAGCATTCATACCTCATTTTCCTGGTCTTTATTTATTATTCTTTCGTACGTTTTTTGGCCCTTAACTACTTCAGCATACTTTCAGCTAGAAAAACCATTCAGGTATCAAAATGTTCAGCTTTTTCAGGACATGCACGGATCTATTCAGAATTTTCCTAAACTTAATACTTTTTAAACTATTTAGTGTTTTTCAGCATAATTTTGCCCATTCAAATGAATGGGGAAATTTTACTTCAGCAAACTTTCAGCTATTTCAGCTATCAAAATGTTCAGCTCCTCAAGGACATTCATGCATCTATTCAGAATTTTTCTAAACTTCATGCTTTTGAAATATTTAGCTTTATTTTGAAAATTTTGCCACATTCCAATGAATGAGAAAATTCTACTTCAGCATACTTTCAGCTATAAAAACCATTTAGGTGTCAAAATTTTCAGCATTTTCAGGGCGATCCTTCAGCATATCAGCATCCAAATGCATTTTCAACAGGAAATGCATTTCTCTAGTTTCTTGCTCTTTTCTTCTTGAACCATGCCACCGGCACTGCCCAGTGCCTCGCTGGCCCCGGGGCTATCAGGGCGGGTCTTTTGTTCAGCCCGCCATCATGATGTCGCCTGTCATTCGTGCACACTCCACTTCCATGTCTGTTTATCATCTCTGCC